AATTATCCAAAATATTTATCCAAAAATAGTAATAACTAAAAAGTGGATAAAAGTTCTGCAGCTTGTACATATTCGACATATACATGCTCTCCTCGAGAAAATTTCAAAGAATATCGCTGTATTTTTACAACTGAATTTAGAAAAGCTTAAAATATATGGAAAATACACAAAGAGTTGTATACACAGGGTGTTCACAAAAGGTGGTACCAAATTTTAGGGATATGTAGTACTCGTTAAAACAAACCAAAATCTCCTAATGAACAGTACTTCCGAAAACCTTTTATTTCTGAGTTATGAAGCATTTTGTTCTGTGAAAAATAGAAAATAAATTAAATCTATAATAAATGTTCAATGTGCCTTCGACTCATGTCAATACACATTTCGGCATATTTCGTCATTGAAGGTCAAAGAGTCCAGGTTTATTTCGTATTTGTTGACAACAGTTTCCAAGTCAGTTCATTCACGAACGCCCGTATGTGACCACCTAATTACGCAGGGATTGTTGTATTCAACTTTGGATTGTGGACCGTGTTTTGTGGATCTTGTTTTGTGTTATCTGAAAAATGGCTAATTTTTACACAAATTCTGAAATAACGGATATTCATTTTATATATGGCAGAGCAAAGGGCAATGCTTCAAAAGCAACACGCTTGTATCATGCAGCTTATCTGAATCGCCGACAGCTAAGTAGAAGAATGTTTAGCAAAATTCATCAACACTTACGTGAGACCGGACAGTTCAAACCAAATTTAGTTGATTGCGGTAGACTGCGACTTATTAGAACTGTTATCAACAAATATGGAATAAACCCGGAATCTTTGAACGTGTTCGATCTTCAATGAAAAGACGTGCCGAATTGTGTGTTGAAATGGACGGAGGGCACATTGAACATTTATTGTAAATTTTAGTTATTTTCTATTTTACACAGAATAAAATGCTTCATAACTCAGAAATAAAAGGTTTTTGGAGTACTGTTCATTAAGACTTTTTGGTTTGTTTTAACGAGTACTACATACCCCTAAAATTTGGTACCACCTTTTGGAAACACCCTGTATATATATATATATATATATATATATATATATATATATATATATATATATATATATGCAAGGTGTTGAAAAAAAAGGGTCACATATTTTGATAGCAGGTAGTATTGATCAAAACAAGAAGAAAAGATCTAATTAACATGGGTCCTAAGACTAATATCTTCTAAAATATAAGCTATTTTGTTATTTGAGCTCTTTGTCATTTTCTTATTAGTTGTGTCATCTTTAAAATGTAATAAACAAAGAAGTAGGGGAGAGTGGGGTACAATGGGGGTATCTTTTTTCTAGGTGCTTTAAAAAATAAAAAAATAACAAAGAGAGATAAAGAAACAATTTTTATTTTAATATGAAATGTAA